AACCGGTTTTGCGTCAGGGATGGAACAGTCCAAGAAAAGCAAAAGCAAAAGCCGAGGCTGCTGTTTGGCGAGCTTTGCAGGGGTGCGGTCTGAAACAGCAGTTTACATGGGAGGACGCAGTTGTGGAGGCCCGCCACATTCAACAGTCAAGAAAACAAAAGCTCTCCAAGATCTTGTTCAACCACTTGGAGAAGACATATTCGACCATGCCTGGAGACAAGATCCATTGCTTGGAAGAATTGCAAGAGTTGCAATGGGTAGTGGCCCAGCGACCTCAGGCTGTAAACAAGAAGCGGAAAAGTGAATGCCATACTTTGAAGTCGTTAGCAACTGTATTCCCCGCTTCAGAGTCCAAATTTGTATGGGCCGTTGAGAACACTCTGGATGTGGATGGCAATCTGCTCAAGGCCAAAAGATCCGTCAGTAATGAGCCTGAAGTTCTTGTGTCGCAGCTGGAAGCAATTGCCAGGGCAATGCCAGAGTATTCAGATTCTCGCGGCCTCGGAAGCAGCTCTTGGAATCAATTTGTTGGTTGCCTTCGGTCACCGCGCGTGCGTGTAGCTGATCTGAAAGTAACTCATCACATAGAGGACATAGAGGTGGTCCTAAAAGAGTTGGCTTCGAGACACGGGCACGGCCGAGCAGCTTCTTAAGAAGCTCTCCGATTTGGCTTATGTGCCTTGCCAGAGTGATGGACCTACAACATTGCTTTTCAGCCCAAAGCATGCCGCCTGCTCATCAGCCCAAGGCCCTCACAAATTGTTGCCGGCTTTTGGGGTTGTGCTGCCGCGGGCTTTAAATGCGCAATGCCTTCTGCACGGGCTTTAAATGTGCAAGGTGCCGGACGGCACTTAGCAGGCTTGTCCTGTGCCTGTGAAGGCGCCCAAGTGTGGGCAATGGTCGCGGAGCCTTTTCCTGTCCTTATTATTGTCGTTGCTGATGTCGTTGTGGTTCTCGTTGCCGTAGTGCCTCCTCGTGTCGTTATGGTAGTGGTTATGCTTGTGAGGCCACGCAGTGCCGCTCGACGCCAGGTGCCATATCAGTCAGTAAAGCCAACGCCGAATCCGGCGAGTGAACGGGACAGGTCGCGGATGCTTCGCGTTGGAGCGGCAGGAAGCAGGCCAACGGTGTCCCACGGTAGGGCACAAGGATCACGGTTAGATTGTGTGAATTGCCGACGACGAGCGTATGCGCAAGCCGCAATCGGACAGCGCAGCGTGTTGCGGCTAGGTCGGTCGCAGGAGTGGTGTGAGCCCTACTTGGTCGGTGCACGCGGCTGCAATGCTGTGCCGATCATGGTATTTGGCCTGGTGACGACCGAGTTATGGGTAGATGCGCGAACTGCGCACTGCGCGCGGTCCACGTGCAGGTGGCCGCAAACGCAAAGGCATGCAAGTCTGTCGGTGGCATGCGCCTGTGCAACAGCCCGCCTTAACGCAGCACGAGGGCAGCAGCAGACGCGGTCGCGAGGACAGATGACGCAATGGCAATCGCCGGCAACTCGGGGAAGACAGCAGAAGGCTCTATCACCGAGGTGTACCTGTCTGAAGATAGGCAAGGCGCGTCGACCACCTGCACGGGCATGGGCGCGCCAATTCCGGCGACGCAGTCGCGCACGCAGGTCGCTGCCGGCGTCGCGCGGGTGCTATCGTCGGGTGGGGCGACGTAGCACCGTCAAGGAGTGCCCGACGGGTAGTGGTTCCAAAGCTGAGGGAATGGCGTCAAGCGACGCCCGAAAATTGGGCGACGGACAGAGCGTGAATGCGGACAACAGCATCCACGGGCTGCGAGGACATGATCAGCTGCACGGGGCCTGGTCGAGGGTGCCCGTTGTTGGGCGAAGCCATCCGATGTGGGGCTTGCAAAGGGACAGCCAAGCCGCGCGTCGAGCGACGGATGGGTGCTGCCGAGCGACGCGGGCAGTGCCACAGCACACCGATGGGGTGGAGACGGAGGGGTTTCCGCCGCTAGAGACAGAAGAAGGCGGCTTGGTGGATGTGTGTGCGTCGTGGCCGTTGGCTGGCGTCTTACGGCGAGTGGAGGTGACGAGTGCAGGGGCTGGCCACGGACAACGTGTTTCCGGTGACGCTCCAACGGCAAGCGTGGCATCTGGACAAAGGCCGAAAGCGGCCCATGCTGCGGGTGGTGCGACGGCAATTTCCGTTGGCACCCGGGTTTGCCACCACGGCGCACGCAGCGCAGGGCCAAACTTACGCAGAAGGGGCAGTCACGGACATGCAGATCGGCGAAGGCGGAGACCCGCTGACCGCATACATCGCTGTGACGCGAGTGAAAGATAGACACGGGTTACACATATACAGACCATTCGATGCTGCACCCTATCAGAAAGGACGCAGCGTAGGGAGAGCTTTGCTGTTGCAGGCCTGGCGCGGAGAGAGCATTGACTGGGCAACGTTGCGCATGCGGCGCCGCGAGGAGGAAGTGTGTAGCGAGTGCCGCGAAAGCAAACCCAGAAGCGGGTACAGCGCCGGGCAATGGAAACGGGACGCGGACGCACGTGTGTGCAGAGAATGCGTGCGCAACTACGCGGCCAACAACACGCCCTGGCAATGCAACAGTTGCAAGGCATGGAAGCACGAAGACGCCTTTGCTAGAATGTACACGCGCCCCGCATGCACGTTCTACCGCGTGTGCCAGACGTGCGAGGCACAGAAGCGGTGCTACAAGTGCGGTACGGCCAAGCCGGAAAGTGCATTCGGGGCGGCCGCGTGGACAGGGCGCCATGCACACCGACGTGTCTGCAGGGACTGCGCCATGAAAGTGAAGGGTGCATGGCGCTGCGCCGTGTGCGCGGAACGTAAGGCGTGCAATGACTTCAGCGCCTGGTCCAGGCAGCGCACTGCGCCGCAAAACGGAACGCAGCGTTGCAACGCTTGCGTCCTCAGCGCGGCCCAGCGCGCAGCAGCGCAGCGCGCAAACGACGGACGTGCGCAGTGCAGAGGACGGCCTGCCCGGGCGGATGCACCGGTCGACAGCTGCCACGGGCAGCGGTGGCCACGAAGTGTCGCTCATAGAGCCATACGGCGCCTGGCTGCGACGCGGACGAAAGTAGCCGAAGAAAAGAGACAGCAAGTCATAGGTCTTGTACGGGAAGAGATCGCTGACCATGTGCGACAGAAGCAAGCCGAGGATGAGGTGCTCTTTCCCCGGGCGCAGGAGCCGAACCGGAGCAAAGAAAGCCAGACGGCTCAAAGCAAGACGGAACCGGAGGCACAAAGGCTCTCCACAGACAGCATGCCGTCGCGCAAACGCCGCATGGAACCACGACAAGACAAGCGCGCACAGCCGACGCCCACCAAGACCCAGCCCCGCACTCAGACAATGCAAGTAGCACAGGCAGAGCCTGCAGCGAAGTGTGCAGAAGACGTGTCGGTGAGCAGCCAAGCCAGGACAGCGCCTCCGCCACAACGAAAGTCGCAGGCAAAGCCGCAACAAGCGACGCAAGCCACCCCGACCGTTGTGCAGACGACAAGCGCACCGCCGGCAAAGTTGGCTGGACAGACGGCCGCCGCGGAAACGTTCCAATATGCGTGTCCGTTTTGTGAGGTGTCTGTGACCAGCACTGTGCGCACAGGCCAAGTAGATCACCGCCGTGTGTGCGGGAAGTTGTTTCGTGTCAAAGACGGACACGTTGCCGCCAAGAACTTAGTCTATGCGTGTCCATTTTGCAATGGAACTGTGGCGAGTAACGTGAGGACAGGGCGGGTAGATCACCGAACCGTGTGCGGCAACCGATTCCATGTGAAAGAAGGCACGGTTAGCACACAGACGCGGCAGCATGAGGTGCTCGCTCCCCGGGCGCAGGAGCCGAATCGGAGAAAAGAACGCCAGATGGCGCAAAGCAAGACGGAACCGGAGGCACAAAGGCTCTCCACAGACAGCCTGCCGTCGCGCAAACGCCACATGGAACCACAACAAGACAAGCAAGCACAGCCGACGCCCACCAAGACCCAGCCCTGCACACAGACAACGCAAGTAGCACAGGCAGAGCCTGCAGCGAAGCGTGCAAAACACGTGTCGGTGAGCAGCCAAGCCAGGACAGCGCCGCCGCCACTACGAAACTCGCATGCAAAGCCGCAACAAGAGACGCAAGCCACCCCGACAGCCGCGCAGACGACACTCGCACCGCCGGCAAAGTTGGCTGGACAGACGGCCGCCGCGGAAACGTTCCAATATGCGTGTCCGTTTTGTGAGGTGTCTGTGACCAGCACTGTGCGCACAGGCCAAGTAGATCACCGCCGTGTGTGCGGGAAGTTTTTTCGTGTCAAAGACGGACACGTTGCCGCGAAGAACTTAGTCTATGCGTGTCCATTTTGCAATGGAACTGTGGCAAGTAACGTGAGGACAGGGCAGATAGATCACCGAACCGTGTGCGGCAACCAGTTCTGTGTGAAAGAAGGCACGGTTAGCACGCAGACGCGGCAGCGTCCGCACACATGCCCAGCGTGCCAGACTGTGGTCTGGTCATCACAGTTGTTTGGGCGCGTTCGGTGCCAACACAACACGCCAGCGGGAAAACCATGCCCGAAAAACACGTGGCAAGTTCAAGAGCGCAAGCGCGAAACAAAGAAATAGAGTATAGACCAATCATCCGGAAGCCACGCAACCACCGGGCAAAGGGGAGCCGCGCCAGGCTGTGTTGCAGGACTAGGCCAAAGGTGCCGGGAAGGGTTTGACGGTGCCTGGAGGACCCCAAAGAAACGAGGTGCAGGCCGAGGTGGCAGGTTCCAGAGGTCAGTTCTAAGGCTGCAGTGTACGGTTCCAGAGGGTTTCGCGCTGGGGAGGGTTTGAACGCTGCGGAGGGCAGGCCTGCTGCCGATAAGAGGGCAAGGCTGCGGTTGCGATGCAGGAGTAGGCCAAAGGCGCTGGGGCTGCAGTGCACGGGCTGCACGTTCCAGAGGCTCTCTCCCCAGGCTCCCGCCTGACGCAGGCAAGGCTGCGATGCAGGAGTAGGCCAAAGGCGCTGGGAAGGGTTTGAAGCCGCGGGGGAGGGCAAGGCGCTGGGAAGGGTTTGCAGCCGCGGGGGAGGGTTTGAAGGCGGTGCAAAATGCCTAACGTCGCTTTTGGAAGCCCATAGGAGCACGGGCTGCACGTTCCAGGGCTCTCTCCCCAGGCTCCCGCCTGACGCAGGCAAGGCTGCGCTGCAGGAGTAGGCCAAAGGCGCTGGGAAGGGTTTGCAGGCGCTGCGGAGGGCAGGCCTGCTGCCGATAAGAGGGCAAGGCTGCGGTTGCGATGCAGGAGTAGGCCAAAGGCGCTGGGGCTGCAGTGCACGGGCTGCACGTTCCAGAGGCTCTCTCCCCAGGCTCCCGCCTGACGCAGGCAAGGCTGCGATGCACGTTCCAGAGGCTCTCTCCCCAGGCTCCCGCCTGACGCAGAGGCAAGGCAAGGCTGCGATGCAGGAGTACGCCAAAGGCGCTGGGAAGGGTTTGAAGGCGCGCGGGGGGTTTAAAGGCGGTGCAAAGTGCCTAACGTCGCTTTTGGAAGCCCAT